GCATGTGGAAGCCCAAATTTGAAATTTGTTTTATTATCGATATCATATTTTGTAAAATGTTAACGAATTTTTGAGTAACAAACTCAACGATTTGAAATCGAGCAATGGCAACAATCTGCGGGGGAGGGAGAACCTTTTTATCTCCAGCGCGCGGAACTGTGTATCGGAAATTCTAAAGATAGGCTCATTTTAAAATTTATTTTGCGACATTGCTATTGAACTGAAATTTACGGTTTAAGTGGGAAGAACATAATATTTAACAATAAAGGTAACACATAAAGTGTTAAAAAACGCCCCGTTGGACGTAATTTAAAATCTGAAGCCTTTCAGGATTTTTTTTTTTCTTTCATTTATGTTTATGGTCGAGAAAAGTGATTTTCAACTCTGTCCTCTAGCATATACCAGACAGAAAAAATGGTACAGATATCAGGAGATTGCGCAGCATGAGAAAGAAATTCACGCTCGTTTTCACGTTCTTCAAACTTCCAGCTTTGCGGTGTGAATATGTGTTTTGTCAACCAGATCTCCACTGAGATAGAAAGTTGAAAATAAATTAGATGACCTGGTCCTTTAGAATACATCGATAGTCTTTGATCGAGATAAAACAGTAAAGAATTAAGATTGTTCTGAATAGACTTTCACAGGCCCAAATCGCAACTAACATAGCTCCATCTTACACTCTAAGCAAAGGACAGTCCGGTTCATACGCTTCTGAAGAGTTCTTCACCTATGAGCTTTCCCAAAGGTGGGAAAGATAAGGAAGACGGCTATTCTTCGGATCACGGACATTTTTCATTGTATTCTATCCAAATTTTGCGCTCCTGATACCACCGAACCAATATTTAGCATGGACGCTGGTTATCAAAAGCTTTTTTGATCGATCGCGAGATCGTTTTTAGAGGCAGTACTTTAATACCGCTGAAAATTCAAATTTCACACTCTGCTGTTGATAAAAGTCGGAATTATTCAGCGTTCACAACCGGAATTGCCTACATTGTCTTGAAATTTTGACAGCTATATTCGCCATGAGTTTCTATTTCATTACCTCACCATTGACGAGATTTGTAATTTAATGAAAAGTGAATACAAAGAACTTTGTGAAGTATTAATTTTAGTAATAAATTCTTTCGTTTTTCATAAAAAAAATCTTGCAAATAAGAAATAAAACTTAAAGTAATTAATATGTCGTCTTTCATAAAAATTCTAAATTCCTCTTGGAAATTTGAAATTCCAAGCACATACATTGATAGGCTGGAAAACCGAAATACAGACAATTTTGGCCTAAACATTTATTGGCTATGCATTACAATGTCACCACTTTCGCATTAAAACGTGTGTGTGTTTCCAAAATATTTAAAGCCGTTTTTTTTCCGGAAGGACACCATTCAATATAAGTACAGGAATTAGAGATTGATATGAGAGATTTTAAGAGAAAATGGATGCAATATTTTAAAAGAATATAGAAATATTTTAAAGAAAAATACTCAAATTTCTACAGGTCTACTGAAAACTAAAATTCCAATAAAATTTAACGTAACGTAAAACAATTATATGTCTTATTTCCTGGAAATGTTTTCTGCAATTGCTAGCTTAAAACAATTTCTAAAATGTCCTGAAGTTGTGGATGAGAAGACAACAGAGAACCGTGAAAAACGTTCTTTAGAAAGAATAAAACTGGAAGTGGCCTTATTATAATATGCGTTGGGAATTAATTTACAACAAATTAAAAGAATGCTTATTATACACACAGCGTTTTCAGACTTAAAAATAGGGAATTTCTGGGTTTTTTTTTTTTTTTTTTTTTTTTTTTTTTGGTAGCAGATTACTATCTCAAGTTGACCACAACAAATAGCGGCAAATAACAGAAAGTAATGAGATAATACGCATCTAGCATGTTCAAACTTTGTGTTTCTTTATTTAACTTTAAATAAGTTGAACCTTTTTTTCTGAAATAATTTCGGCATTCGAAATTACTATGTTTCAGGGTTACTTAGATAACAGAAATTTAAATCTATCTCAAAATAATTAATTTCTTTCATAAAAATAACTTTTAGACCTTGATAGAAGATTTTTAAAACAGTGATGGATATAACGAAAGTAAAAAAAAAGTCGATTAAAATTCGCGCCTTACGTGACACAAATTATAGGATTGTAAAGAAAAATCCACGTTTTATACTAGTCATACTACGTATATACAAGCAATATATAACACATTATGCTAATCTGTTTATTATATTATATATTTCACAAGGGAAAAAATGGTATCTTACATTTCAATACATGTATTTCATATAAGTATCATACATGTATTTTTAAAAATTTTTAATATCACTCTTTTTTTATTTAATACATCTGCTATATATCCCAGAATTTAGAAATCAAGTAAAATTGTTAAAGAGGCGAGAAATGGGGAAATAGTATTAAAAATTTTAAGGTGCGCGTGACAAATTTCACTCTTTCTCTGATTTTATAGGCTTCCGCGTACATATTTATTAATACGACTGGAACAAATAAATGGGCATATCAACTAGATGAGATTAATAAAATACCTACATTGTAGTTAAACTCCTTATGTGCTTAAATATTTCATAGTGTTATCCAGTTAAACTGACTGCTACAAATTTAAAATAAATTTTGGAGCAAAATTTTAAAAGTTCAAAACCTAAAGGTGTAAAACATTATTTACACATTTAGCAGGGAAAAATTCACTCGTGGTTTATGAAAAATCAATGTTTCCTGAGAACAAGAATACTGCGAATAATACTGAAGACATATATCACAAGAAATAAAAATTTAAGAAACTCGTCTTCTGCATTTAATCGAATTTACATTATGTAATTCGATACATGCATAAATTTTAAGTCTCTGTAAAACTTACGTAAACTAAAGAGTAAAATGAATTTTTAATTAAAGAAACACAGAAAATCTTATGATTCAACTAGCGATTCGGGAATTTATCAAAATTTCGGATATAAAATATTTTTTTTCCTTTCACACCTTCCGTTAAGGAAATGTTTCCTAAGCAGGTACATCAGAATCAAAAAGTTTAAAAGCACAAATCACACTTTTTGGTGATTATTAGCAAAGAATCTTCTACTAAACAAACTTAATTTTCTCTACATTTTTAAAAGATCCGAATATTATTTCGTTAAATTTACGTTGCACTCTACATTAGGTTGGTGGGCAGTGGGCAAGACGTGATTCTTGTTCACCAGGAATATTATAAAAAATTATATATTATTCACGGTTAAAAATAAAATTCTTTATGACAGAAATAATTGAATGTTTCCACTTATTCCCTAATAATAATGAAATAGACAACTAGTCTCATAAAATTATTCTTGAAAAGAAAAAAATAGCACAATGTTGATAATTCTGAAATAATACTGAAATGGATAACTAATCTCATAAAAATTGTTCTTCGAAAGAAACAAAACAGCACAATGTCAATAGTGAAGCATCATAAAGACAAGCGAACCAAAATAAAGTCACATTAAGTTATAACTCCGAAAATATTATCTAAGCAGAAATTATTTATCTCGGAAGAAACAAAAATACCTCGTATTTTTTTTCTTTTTTAAGCCAAGCTTTTTAGTCTAATGACATAAAAAATGGAAAGAAATCTGAATTTAACAGAAATATACTTCCGATTTGAAAATATTTATTTACTTACATTATCTCCATTGTAATTAAATAGACGCATAAATGACTTAAAATCAAATAATTATGCGGGGAATCATCTCAGAAATGATGAAAACCACTTTTTAAGAGAATTTTTATCCACCAAACGTGTGACTAACGTCCAACTGGATTTTACTGAGATAAACACGTGACTAACACCACCTTGATGTTACTGACTGAAACACGTGACTGCACATAAATATATGTGGCTCAAGCTCAATTAAATGTGTGAAGATGCCTTAAGCATAGCAAGTACAAGTAAATATAGTAGAAATGCGTACATATCAAACAAAACCACTGTCATCTAAACTAATTTTAAGAAACAAATAATTACTTTTGCATTTCAGAGAAAAGAAATTCTTAATTAACATATTGAAACTAAAATATTACTTGAAAGGACATAACAGAAAAATTATTTTTTAAAATTTAATTTGAATTCCTTATTGCAGTTTTTTTAATAAAATTTAATAAATAAAATTTAATAAAATTTTTTAAATAAATTCTTATGCAGATATCTACAAATTGTAAGGATTTCTTAAAAAATAAATAAATAATATTAATTTAAAAAAACACGCGTCTATTTCTAAGCATTAATTTTGATAGTTGACGCAGCGACTAAAATAATCTCTGTAATTTAGAGTCAAATGTTCTCTTAAATCTAGCAAAAACTTCTAGGAGAATTAAAAGGGATAACCGTTTCTTTAAAAACAGTCTTTCGAAGACATTGCAAGATATGGTAGTTGCTCAATTAAACAGATTTGTTACGTTAGCGATAATGTATATGAATATAACGCAAACTCTTGCTTAGAGAAGAAAATGATACGCAAATCTCTCATTAAAAAATTACTGAAAATTTATTAAAGTTTTCTAAAAGAGTAAAATAAAGTAGTATTAAAAGCTTACTAATTAGAAAAAACAGGTGCACTGCCTAGAGTTTCAACGCAAATACATATGCTGTTGCCCTACCGTAAATATTAAAATTTAAAAATGAGTTTAAATCAAAAATATCTAGTGACAGATTAATGACAGCTAATAATAAACCTACTTTGACCTGAAGGAAAGTTAACATTAAAACGAAAAAAAAAAGTTTACCTAAAACACGACGTCGCTTCGCGCATCTAATTGAAGGAGGATAATCCTAACAAAAGCGGAATGGAATGACAATAGATGGTTTCCAAAACACTAATGCCACGAATGGATATTCTGGCAAAGTAACGACACTCCACGCGAGAAGCAAACAACGTGCCCTCCCCCTACTCAACTGTCCACAACAATCGGAGCACGCGGTTACGATACAAGATGAAAAAGGGAAAACTCACCCCTTCCATGTATCCACAAGTCGCGCTCCAAAAGGGCAGAACAGTCCAATTAAGTGCACACTTTTCCCAAAGTTTTCCAAAGGGAACAAACAGTCTTACTCCAGAGCAAGTCCGAATCCCGCCACGGGATGGGATGTGAAGCACCGTCGGAGCATCATGATGACCTGAGCGAGGACGCGATGTGAGGCGGCCGGCTCTCGGCGAGCAACTGGTAGTAGGCGTCAGAGTGCGCGAAGCCGGCGTTAAGCCCGTCCCACCTATACCCGTCATGTAATCAAATTCAGCCACACATAATTCAGCCTCGGGCCGAGTTCGCTCGCTCGTTTGTTCTTGCGTCCTATTATTCCGCGCGCGGCGGAAACCTAACCGAATGGTAGATTTGTTACATTGGGGGATTGAGGCTTTTCCCTCTCTCTTTTCTTTCGACGGATTAGTTTTTCCACTGCCGGTAGGGGCTATACTCGGCTGAAGGAAAAAAAGTAAACCACTCGCGGTACTAGTAAACGACGATCGATTTATAGGTATCTCAATAATGTAATTACTTCGTTATTTCGCGCAGAGCTTTTTCTTATCGCTGAGATAAAAATGTTACTTGGCTTCTCTAAGTCTGACCTTTCGGATAAGGATTTAAAAACGGGGAAGGGGGGAATTCGATTTGCTTTAACGTAGAATGCGTTAAAATAAATACTGAAAACAACACATTTTTCTCAGTAAAGATGAAACATATCGAAACTTACGAAGAGTTTTATGAGTTTTTTTTAACCCCCCTGCTTGTTCACGTTTTTAACAAAATTCATTCTTATTTGTTAAAAAAAAATGCCTAATTTTAAAGGCAATGTTATGTTAAAAACTATCTAATTTATATGTTAAAAATTTTTAATATACAAATTAGATAGTTTTTAACATAACATTGCGTAATTTCTTATATTAAAAATTTTTGCTGATCAATGACAATAAACTTTACGAGATACATATTTGTTCATTCATATATTATTAAACTGTACATGTAATTCATATTACATTTTAAATATTAATAAGAGAGAAATCAAAACGTTTTGAATGCTAAAAATATCATTCAAATTAAATTCTTAAAACCCTTTCCAAAGAGTTCGCTTTTTTCCATAATTTAAATTTCACTAGTTCCAGATTCTTTGCGTCTTTAAATTAACTCATTTATATACAAATATAAAAGAGTGATTTTTTTAATTTACATTCAACTAGACTTCACTTTTCTGTGTAAAATACTCAGTAATGTCAAGAAGTTTATTTTCTATTTATAAAATATGTTTTCGTCATAGGAACTGTAAAAAATAATCTCATCGATATATAAATTACTCTACTTTATTTATCTGCTTATTACTATTATTATTTGAAATTTTGTTCCATCTGTTCGGCTTGAGGAATTTTCCATTAACTGCCGATGTGCTCTAACTTAACAAATTTAATTAAGAAAAATTAATTACATTCGAGTGCCAGGAAAGACAGAACAATATGTTAGTACATAATTTATATGTATAAATATATCAAAGGATATCAAAAGATATCTAAAAGAATATCTGAGATATCAAAAGAATATCTAAAAGAAATTCCGAGGTTTTATTTTTGGCTCATGTACCTGACATTCTTGCGAAAACTTTAAGTATTAACCATTAAGGAAAGAGTTTACTGCGAATCACTCTCTTTTATTTCGAGTACTTAATAGAGTTATGAGACAATAATAAAAAATTAATTTCTCGGGACAGGGAAGAGATAGATGAACAATGATGAAATGAGAATGTATTTCGAGAACTGAAGGCTCTAAAATTCTCTTGTATAAGCCTTGACATTTTCCTGAAGGACTAGTCTTAGGATTCAGGATTCAGGATCTAATCTTAGGATTCAGGTTGTTTGTATGGAAAAGTCATTACGCGAACAAAATTTTATTTGTCTCACTTTATTTATTACACTCAAAAAGTATCCAACGAATTATATGATACAAATTATTCGACGTCTTGGCAGGCAAAGGGAGTTAGCGAAGGTGGGTGCCATACAGATAGGTCCAGGTTCGAATCCCGGAGAAGGCATGCATTTTTTGTAGTGAACAGTGTTTGCGTGTAAGTAGTGTAAGTGTATAGTCTATAGCGTACTTTAAACACCGGAGCCCTTTCATGTGGTTTGGTAGTAGGGGAAGAGGGGTAAGAGTCTTCTGGACAGTTCTACAGGGTGTTCTCCATCGAAATTGTGTATTGAGTATTTAAACGGGTGAATACTGAAGTTTATTCCGAATGTGTTTCGCGTTTTATCGCTGATCTTGCTGTTACGCTAATACGTCTTTTGGACATTTCGAATAATTGGCACTGCTTTTTGGTTTGTTGAGGCAGCCTAAGATAGCCGTAACTTAAAGTGCTAATCTAGCCCTATTCTATTTTAGGCTTGAATTGATTATTATAACCTTTAAGTTCCGCCGCAAGTTGTTGGTGTTATTGTAAGGAACGAAAATCGTGCCTTCTGTTCAGAGTTTGAATTAATAAAGAGTTAATTTCACTCTTCTTCTGAGATGGTATTTACTTCAAGAATTCGCCAGGTTCATTTGTAGGATCTAGTTTAGTTTATGTGGAAAAGAAGAGATAGATCTTCTAATGTTAAATTTTATTCATTTTATAACTGTGCTTATACTGTAGGGATATCATGAGAGCCAAAGCGCGTAAAAATATTAGCTTACAACCATTCTGTTGCATTCGAGCATGTTAATACTTACGCTAGGTTAAAGAATTGTACCTAAAAATAACTTAAAAACATCAATTATTAAAAGATAAAGCTTCAAATGACAAATCATTGTATTGGAATGAAAATAATAGTATCTTTAAGCAAATCAGGGTTACATTTTTATGCATGCTATCTGCGTGGAAATACTACAAATGTAAATAAAGTCTCTCAGTCAAAGTGGGTAAGAGTATAAAGACGGAGCCTCAGATTTAATAAAGGGATTTTATATTTTCAGGTTGTTAAGAATCAATTGATAAGAAAATGATTTCTTCAGAAAAATATTTTTAGTAGATATTAAAGAATTGTAGGTATTTAATCTCGCAACTGAAATACGAATAAGAATAATTAAAAGAAATATGCTTCAATTTTCAGTTTTTAATTGGGGAAATATTGATGTCATTGAATTTAAGTCATTTGAACGCAACTTTTCATAAATTAGCACTTAACTATCCGATTAATATAAATTGTGAAGAACTTCAGTTAGAAATACCTAGCTTTAAACACCTCAGTATTTCAATAATTCCTGATTAAAGCAGATTCGAGCTTAGACCTTTTGAAAGCAATTTACGAATATAGTTTAACTCAATCCTATCAGAATTTTGAAGCAGCATTAATAATACTCTTAATATCGTCAGCTACTGTTGCTAGTGGCGAATGAAGTTTCAGCAAACTTTTAAATGTTTTCGTCCTTTGCATAAAACATGAATTAAGTGATTAAGCAGATTTTGAAAAATTCATTGATGAGTTGCTTTATTAAAAGCAAAAAGAAATTAGGTTATCTAAAATGCTTAAAAACTGTGCAGTATTCAATATTTTTATATTAATTACATTGATATATGTATATATTATTTCAATGTTATATACTTTTATCCAACGCTTTTATTATTGGTCCTTTTTTCAAATATGTAAAGCTGTGAATATATATTGTAAGATTTATAATAGTGTGATTTGAAATAGTTATCTTTAAGGAATATAAAAGTGTACGCACATATATGGTTAACTTGTACTGTGTGTAAATACAAAAAGTGAAAAAATATGTAGTCGTAGCTCTGATAATAATGCTTAAAACACAAATTAGCTTCATACCAAAGGTGTCTTAATTAACTGATTGGCTTACGTTTATTGGCTCCCCCGTACATTATAATGCTTCAGCTTTATGGTGTTTTTTCATTATAATCCCCTTCTCGTACTCCTGTTGTACTCAACGAAGTTGTGTTTATATTGCAACTAGTTTTTCAAATTTTTATTACAGTTCGTTCGAATTTGCTATTGAAATTGTAGTAAGAAAAGCACAGAAAAACTCTCAAGATTTAAGGAAGAGGTCAACCCATAATCCTGTCTCCACTATGATTTAATCTGATAGCATAACGCACTTTTATTTATCATTAGGAAATTTGCTTATTAATTTTTCACGCAGTAGGAACGCAGATTTCCGAAAAGGTTGTTCTTATTTTCATGCCCGGTAATTTGAAGCAAGTTGTTAAAATTACTGTGTTGATTTAAATAATACACAAATATATACACTATAGAGTATATTTTCAAGAACTATTAAATCAAGTGAGATTAATATTTATCACATACGCATTATCTTATTAAAATAATCTATTTAAGCCAAAAAATGTATCATTAAACTTTCAAGTTAATACAATGACGAATCATCACCGATAACATATGAACACATAAATATGACACATATTTAGGTTTCCAGTACTATATCAATCACTTGGCAGACACGTAGCTTATAAATATTAACAGAAGAATATTTACGGAAGTATATACACCTACTATTCTTTGATTACTTCGCAAGTAATTCCCGAGCCATAACAGCTCAATAGACATAACATATTCTTGTCTACAAACAGCGCAAAGAAATGTATTTAAGATCCGGCTACTTTAATTTTAATTAAACTGAAATTGGTTAAACGTTTTTGCTTTAGGGAAATAAAACACAATTTCTTCGTTTCATTTTAGTATATTAAAAAAATCTGATGAGTGCACCACATGACTTCCTTATCCATTTTTTCTTGCATTTCATTTAAAATTATTGGATTTAATTAAATCTACTTCGTCCATAGCGCATAAACCACAATAGAATAAATGCACTCTTTAAAATTCACTATATTTGTTTACTATAGTGACACTCTGGCGCTAGGTTCACTTAACAGCGTTGTACATCGTCCATATTATAACTCAGAATGCACAAAATTTATATCATTTGAGGAATTATCTAATCGTTGCCACATGTTTTATTCAAATACTATAATAAATCTGAAACGATGTACAAAACAAATTAAGCAAACAAACAAAAAAGAAACAGTTTATCACAGACGATTCAGTATTTCTCATTCAATTATTTCAGTCCTCACTTCGTGACAAAGCAAAAATACATTAAAACTCGAGATGTCTGTATTGAAGATATGAAGTAAATCTTAAAACACTTATTTCCTCGAATAAATTGCAGAATGGATTAAGCACAATTTAATTCGCAATAATAAAAGAAGGTGTTATCTTTGTTATTGCGAAGTTTACTTTCTCTAGATTGGCAACAAATCTACTATTCTGCTGTTTCAAAT